CCCCCCCCTTCCCCTTCCCCCTCTTCCTGGGACAACACTGCATAGCTGCATCTCCTAAAATTTAAATGAATACCAAGAAACAAGAATCTTCAGTGTGATTGGCTGTCACTGGCCGGTCACATGGTGTAGAGGGTGCGGCACGCTTGCGGTGTTTTATCACAGGGTGTCTTTTGGTGAAGGAGTGACATCACAGTAATAATAACCCTTCACCGGTCCATCCAAATTTTCTCTTTTTTAATTTTTTTCCAGTACATTTTAAGGAACAAAACGCATTTTTCTATGTTGTAGAGACGTGCGGCAGCATCGCAGTTCCGGCTCGCTGGGTTCCAGCAGTCTGGACGTGTCCGGGAGTTTAGAAGAGGAGACGGCGCAGCCCAGGAAGATGCGGTAAGTGTCTCCTTCGTCTCCACTCCGCCCCCCGAGGTGCCGAAAGCGCTCGGAGAACATTCACCCGGAATGGCTATTTACGGTCGGGTTGGTGAATGTTTTGTAGGCCGGGGGTCTCCACTCAACCTTGGCAGGCGTGTACCCCCTCTGCAGGAAGAGCCAATTGTCCACCTAGAAACATATCTGACCGACTGCGCCATCCTCCAGATTTTTCTGCAGGAGAAGGAAGGTTGTAGCTGACACCCCTAGACATCCAATGGGCCCTATGCTCCTGCCTAGGTTGCCTTGTGAATGATTTTGGTCAGGTGATGACCTCATGTGCCTGTATGGTGGTAGGCTGTAGCCAACAATGATCGGATGGGGTTAGATGTCCTCCCTCAATTCCCAGGACAGGTCAGAGGTCATTGATGCCTCGGCCAAATATTGCACCGGGTAACAAAACCTCTACGGCTCATTTGCACCTAAAATATTTTTAGGTCGAAGGCGTCCGAAATCAATCCTGGAATAAGACAATGATGACGGAGAAGACTTCTTCCTTCTAAAATAATTTCTAGTTCCTGTTTTATGGAGAGACAGCCGGGATTGAGATCCAGCAGCCACGCAATGACAAAATAACATTTATTATTACAAGATTTCATGATCCACGTGATAACAATGAAGTAACTATCCCCCACTAGTATCCATGATCAAGCAGCACAAACCCTCCCTGGACTCTGCACATTACACACGATGCAAAGCATGATTAATACAATAAACTTATTTTAACATCAATTTCCTTACACAGCAGAGAGGATATAGAGAGAAAAAACGACGGCGATCAGATATGAGAAGCGCTTCGTGTTTTTTCTCTCTATATCCTCTCTGCTGTCCCTGACCGTTTCTGGGGATGACTCCCCGGCAGTGCGGATCCCACTCACCTCTAATGTCCCACTTATGGTATTTATTAGGGATGCTCCGATACCGAGTATTTGCATGAGTACTCGTGCAAATACTCCAGCAAATACCTGTGCCGCATCCGCCATCTTCAGGGACCCAAAACCGTCGCACACAGGACCTCCATCGCATCTTCAATGAAACAAGATGGCCGTGAACTCCTCCTCCTCCCAAGTCCTCAGTCCTCTGCTCCATTCTGACCTCTTCTCTTGCTGATTGGCTTAA